AACCCACACATGACATCTACTGGGCGTAGACACTGTCAGTCTCAGAATCAGAGATTGGACTGAAGAAGCGGCAGATGTACAATAACCTGTCTGCTGATGACAAAGACATCAAGACCATCAACAATTTATTTATAGAGGCATTAGTGCATCCATGTCTAGGCGCTGTTTCAGCCAACAAACACCCACACACATGATTATATGTGTTAGCTTTTAAATGACAGAAGCAACCTCTGAGACAACAGAGAGACAGAAAATACAGGGCCACTCCGCAAGACAACACCAGCATTTCACACACACTTACACTCTCATACACACACACACATCCCCCCTCCCCCCCCACACACACACACAACCCCACATGCACATCGTAAACACACTTATTTATATTGAGCAAGAGCCAATCTCCGTGACACCACTAGGGCAGACATACATGAGTATATAAAGCCAGTCTGTCCACACACAACACACGAGCATGAGCAGGAACACACTCGTGTATCTTTCAAAGCTGCAGTAAGAGTGGTACAGTACAGTACTAGCGAAACAAACAGGTCAATTAAGTGGCGAAGAATAGAGCTAGAGGTGTTACGAGAGACAGTTTTAGTACGAGTTTAAATACAGCACTTGTAAAACAATAATGTCATACAAGTTACAAACAGAGGTGTTACAAGAGAGTAACAAACACAAAAAAAGAAGGAGATGAGATAAGGATGATAGATGTTTCATACGAAAAAAGGAACAAACCATACCAGAGCATTAGCCAACCACCCACTGTGACCAGAGAGCAACGTACAAAGAAAAGGAGGAGGAGAGATAAGGACGATACATGTTTGATGGGAAAGAGGGAGCAAACCACAGCAGAGCACCTGCCAACCATCCACACACTCGCGCATGCATGGACACATAAACAGCAATGCACTATTCACATACATCCACATCACTCAAACAAAGACACAGCAGAGGGACAGTCAGTCTGCACAGATGCCACAGACATGACTACATCAGCAAAAGCGGATTGACAACATCTTGTGCCACAAATACCTATAATGACAATCTTCCATTCGTATTTTGGCAAGAAAATAGCCCTGCGTTTTTCAGCAAAAGCAATAAGGAATTTGCTATGTTAAACAACACTTTCTCTCAACTAAGCGCATCATATTCATACACACACACACACACACAAATATGCATATATTTGTTAATTCATTCATAGTTTTGTTTCCAAGGTGCCACTCTTGACTCAGGCATGGAGCAGGGACTGTATAAAAAGAAAGAATCTGTTCAGTTTAAGTGCTACATTGTTGTCCACATAAAAAATAAAGCTGAGAGATTTATTTCCATGAACGGAGGCCAACTTTGGTTCCCATGTAAAACTCAAATTCCCTCTAATCGTTTACAGCAAGCACAGATGGGACAAAGCTGGAAATACTTGGTAACAGGTAAAGCTTTTTAGTCTTAGACCATATAAAAAAATCCACCTAAAATAAAATAAAATACAAGAGCAATTTTGAACAAGTTTGAGGCCACACACAACTGAATTCACTAGAAATTGTGGATAATTGCCTTTAGTTTAGACTAGGAAACCCAACCAAAAATTTGAGGCACGATACAAAACTTCTTATGAAAATTCTAGAAATAACCAAACAGCTGTGAGCCTCTCGTACTGGCGAGAAATCAAGTTGACAGACGGAATTCTCAGGTGACATAACAGTGCAGAATGAACCCTGTACAGTAGGCCTACAATAAAACAGTAATGCCTTCTAGTTCTATACACCCTGGCAGTGGTATCTTAAGCTAGTCACCACTGCCTTCTGGACATGTTCATTGGTCGTACATCACAACTAACACTAGTTTTGATTTACTGATATACTCACAGACATTATGGAAGGCAAAAGTGGGAGACTGTTGTTAGTTTTAGTAAGAGTTTTACGGCACTTGCAACACAATAAGGTCATATAAGTGCCAAAAGATTATATGTGTTATAACAGAAGAGAGTAACATACACAAAAAAAAAAAGGAGGAAAGATAAGGACGACAGATGTTTGATAGGAAAGAAGGAGCAAACCATACCAGAGCACCCACCAACCACCCATGCCGGAGAATAGAGGTGTTACAAGAAAGCAATATATTATAAAGAAAAGAATGGAGAGAGATAACGATGGAGGATGTTTGATTGATAGGAAAGAATGAACAAACCATAACAGAGCATTCACTAACCACTCATTCACTACAACCACTTTTGCCCCTGGGGTGTATGTTAAACAAACATAGTATAACAAACGGTCCATCACACAGACAGACACAAATGTTTTAGAAGAAGTACACAAAGACTCTGTTCCATTACAACACTTTTGGTTCCCACTCTTTTCAAACAATTGTTCACCTCATGTCTCAGTACACAGAAAGGAAACAAATACAAAACAGTGACTCAATTTGCTGATCACTTGAAGAGACACACATACAAAAAAAGAGTCTTACACACTGAAAAAGCAAAGCATATTTATACTGGAGATCGAGATTTGTCTTAAAATCTGTTCATCATAGCATTCAAATAAAATGTACAATAGTCCCCAGTCACAAGAAAAAAAAAATGACACCGATGTACAAATTCCCTGAAAATGGAATCGATCAACACTCTTGTTTGGGTCTGTGCAAGAATGTTTCGTCATTGTGTCCATCATGTCCGAAGCCACTGCAAGTACAGACTGTGCCAATCACGACAGTCACAAAACAGGACTAAGCTGTGGTTTGAGTAGAACAGACTCTGCCTCTCTCCCTTCACCTTCACCTCTCTCTGCTTGTCAGATTTTTACTACCAAAAAAAAATTTAAAAAATGCCTGAACCTGTTTCATCTTATGTTCACCATTGACGAATCATGTAGTATGTCATTGTGAAACAATTTTACACACAGCGATCAACAAAGTTGAATGTTTTGAAACACTAAGACCATGGGCAGAAATGAGCAAAGACAAAACTGTTGATCTATATCCACAACGCACACTTCACTTCACCTTCTAAAGATCTTGGTGTAGAACCGAATGTGGCAAAAACAATAATCAATATTTTATGTAGATCTAGATCAATTCTGGGGACAGAACCCAGAAAAGACACACACTGTCTTGTTCCCTACCTCTCCTCCCCATATCTACTACAAACAGTTTGTGGTTGCCTTCAGTCTCCATGTTGATACAACTAGATAGATACAAATTTTATAGCAGGCAATCAATGTGTTCCATGTCTTCAGATAACAAGTCAAACACAAACAGTCGAATTTCTTCTAAAATATATAAAAACACTGATTTCTGTCAAGTATAGTAGTATAATGACTCTGTCAAACAAAAGCTTGAAAATAATATGGTCCTTGTACATAAAAACTAAAAACAAAATAAATTCACCCTGATTCATCAATGAGAATACAAAAAGGGAAGAAAAGCCTGAACTTCACCTATTGTGAATGACTACATTCCAAAACTGAAAGATTACATAAACCACACATGCACATGTGCGTAGCTCTGTAAAAATACAGACCACAAACATTGTAAAAAAAAAAAAAAAGGGTTGATCATGCTTAAAACTAAACTGTTGAATCCCTTTAAAGTTGAAAATACAGAATCATGTAAGAATTAAAATGTGGAACGGACATTTCATGAAAAAAAATCCCAACCCAAGAAACCCACAAAGAACAACAGCTGTGATGTAAGGCAAGAAACTCAAAAATATTGGTGACAATTTCATGAGTGTGTGTGTGTGCATGTGTGCGTGTGCGCATGTGTGTGTGATATGAGACAGGCCAATGTATATCTACACGTCCTTCACCCCCGTGAGGAAACATCACATGATAAAGTGAACCAGGACAGACAAACGGCTCACCAAAATCCAGTACGGTACATTAAAGCTCATCAACAGCTACAACAACAACAACAACAACAACAACAAAGCAATGTTAGTTAAAGCAGCAGAGTAGTTCAGGCTGACAACTCCCACATTCAAATAGAATTATTTCACTCCAATTTTATGTCGTATCAAACTCTAGTGCCGCCCACGTAATCAGCGCAACACCAAATCAATGACATCACTTTCTTTACTTAAAAAAACAACAACAAAACACCAGACAACTGACACCATAGTACTTCCCAGTATCTTGATGTTCCACTTTGTTATAATACGTCTCACAAACTGGACCAAATCAAAGAGTGTTTGAAAAAGAAAACACATCTTTTTTCTCTCATGATATATCACTAACGGAATTCATACTTCATGGCACAATCTTTCTGTACACTGAGAACCAAAAGTACAACTCAAATATAATACACAGAGCGCAGTCAACATTGAGACGAACTAGAGTAATGTCCTCTCTAAACTCTGAAAAACTCCTCTTGTTTGAAGCTTCCCAAGAGACCAAACAATAACGTATATAAGCATTCCCCAAAAGAAAAAAGAAAGAAAAAGAAGCCGATGAAATGAAATAGAAAATGAGAGGTAAAAAAAAAAAAGAAAAAGCAAGATGTATGCTCCTCTTTTATCACATGAAATTATGCTCATACTGAATTTGTGTGCAACAAATCAACAAAATTAAGAAATAACAATTCGACAAAATAGACAACTTATTCAAGTATCTTTCCAGCAACGTCCACAGCTAAGTGTTTAGGAAACAAGGAAAGAGGAACCAAATGAACTCAAATTAGAACAGGGGTCTCAAACTCAAACTTTGCAGGGGCCGCTGAAGGTAGTTTCTGAATAGGCCGGGACAAAGAAAAATGTTTCAAGTATTAAAAAAATAAATACAACTGATCTAATCCTCTTGCACTTAAATAATAGCAGTTCAGAACATTAACGGTTCTTTAGAATATAGGCTTTTAAAGCTTTTTAAACCTTCTTCTTTCTGCCAGATACCTGGCAACGCTTCCTTTTCTTACAAAGTTCTATAACATAAGCAAGGCATGGGATTAGGTATGGGGTGGGAGAGAAACGAGAAACGTGCGGGTTGGACTAACGCTCAACTTTGACACCATCAAGCTGGTGCCACAAAATATGGTCCTGCAGGCTGCGGGCTGCCAGTTTGAGACCCCTGAATTAGAGAAATGGACATGATGATTCACATTGAACATATGAAGGAATCAGTACAATTTGATGAATTATATGTATGTGTATATTTATATATTTATATAAATGTTTAATAATAAAAGTTGAGGATGGCATCAACAGTCTCACAGCCTTCACAATCAATATAAGAAATACAGGAGGCCACCACCACTACCACGACTAGTCTATGGAAGGACCACGGACACTTTTGATATTAGTTTGGTTCTCATGTTGTACACCACGTCTGTGAAACGTCTTCACGGGCGGGTATATACACATAATATGTATAAATATATCTGTATAATATGTATGGGGGATGGGGAAGGGGGGCCCATAGTGCAACCTGCTCCTCTTCAGTCAATTCTCATAAAATGAGGAACATAAAACATTAAGTGTCGAGATGGCAAACTTTGCCTCGTTTATAGACTGGATTATAAACCCCTTCTCTCGTTCTTTTCTGTAGGTGGGGTCTTTTATCGGACATTTAGAGCCAACATAAAGACAAAGAACCAAGGTAAATTCACTTGGGTAGTCCCCCACTCTTAAAGTTTTTGTTAACTTTTAATAAGAGTTTTACAGCACTCGCAACAAAAATAAGTCATAGAAGGGCTAAAGATTAGAAGTGTTACTAAGAAGTAACATACGAATAAAAAAAAGAAAGAAAGAAAGAAAGATTAGGACAAAAGTTGTTCGATAGGAAAGAAGGAGTACACCACACCAGAGAAGACACACCCATCCATCTAGAAAACTCGGAAAACTCCAGCCTGAGAAAAATAAATGAAGAATACTTTTAGCTAATTATCTCTTTTTAAAAAACGAACAAAAGGGGAAGAACATTTAGCAAAATCTGAATGATCCTATGATGTCATAGGACAGAAAAGACCAGGAAAGTGAAAAGTAAAAACTAAAAACAAATAGGCAAGCACAATGATATACCTAACTGCACCCATAGAGAAGAAACTCATTAAAAACACAAACAGGGTACCGCATGTTAATTTGAAACGCTAGGTCAAAACAATAGCCATGTGCTTGGCGTGTCAAATGAACAGGTCCTAAAAGGCTGTTCCTATTCATCTATTTGTGCACCAACAAGAGCTGTGCGTAAAGAACAGCTACCTATAGCTAGTGGCTTCAGACCATTCCTCACAATAACCATCTACTACACCTGCTCCCTCCAGACAAACAGACAATCAGAAATACTATATGTCTATTATTAATTATAATTATTACTATTATTAGACCACTCTGCACGACAGCCACCTACACCCTCTCCCTCCATACAAACAACAACAACAATAATAATAATAATAAAAACAACAACAATAATACTAATGATGATAGTAATACATAATATTATCAATCATCATTATTTTCATTGTTATTATTAAACCACTCCACATGACAGCCACCTCCACCCACTTCCTCCCTACAAACAATCAAGAAATAGCTGTCAAAGAACTGTCTTCCTATTGTGCTTAATGTGCATCACGGTATTGCGCCAAACAGCACAGTATCTTTTCTGGTGGGAAAGAACGATAACAAAACATAGCACACAGATGGACCCAACTCTTTCAACAGAAGCAGAACATAACTGTATATATATCAAAACATCACGAGGTTTATCTTTTGTTCTTATGAAGCAACAAAACGGAGAAAGTTTATCCTTGGATTTTACAGAATCTTGCACGTCTTTTTCCCCGATTAACCCTACACAAAGTCCAATTGACATCTAGTCAGGCTTTGCTGATGGCTGTAACAAGTTACCTCAAGCTTCTGAAGGTCCCATATATTATTACCCTTTTTTTTTCTTTTAACCACTTCTGGAAGTGCTGCAAGAAAGCAAGTAAAAAGCATTGCAATGTAATAAAAATGAAACTACTGGGCACTGGGACTGCAGTGCAAGATAGCAGCGCACTGATGTAACAAAAAAAATATTTGTTCTTCACTTTTAAAACAGCAAACAGCAAGACACTTGCACATGATGTACAGTTGGGACTCCTTTTTTTGTAAAATGTGGCCATTTCCTGTCACTTCCGACAAGCCACATATCAGCTTTCTTCTGATGTAACGGCCCCGTTTTTTATTGCACCCATTTAGTTGGCGGGATGACGCTGTGTCTGCGAGCTTAGACGAACCTTTAACATGAGAACTGCAGCATGCTCATACAGCCTTACCAATGTCTGTTACATTCTGACAATGTGGTCTTGTCCACTGCACCCTAATCGTTAAAAATTGACAGTTATTTTTCTGTTAGTACCTTTTTTTACGCGATAAAAACAGTTCCACATCATTTTCAACACAGCTTACATCATTCAGAATGCACATTGTAATATCGTAGAGATATTTTAGGCAATTTGAGTCCACTTTTACTTTCACTTGGCACCTGAGAGGCGAAATTTGATTTTAGCAGAAGGTAGTTGCACTTCTCCCAGTGACAGAGAGAAGCGCTCACACGTCTCAGTGTGCGCGTGTGAGTGTGTGTGTGTGTGTGTGTGTGTGTGTGTGTCTTCGTGTGCCTAGACCACAGGTGTGGGGATAAGAGGCTGCATGGGTGGGGTTGAGGTCCGCGTCTCCTCGGGCTGCATGCGCACTCGCTTCAGAATCCTCTGTCGGCAGATGGGACACTTTTCCAGCTGGATAGCGCACACTTCGCAGAAACCCCTTGGAAAAAGATCAACAAGAAGGTCTCAGGGATGACAGTGCTACACAATATTATACTAGCAATTTGTGCAATTAGATATGGTATAATTATCTGAATAGCTGAATAAGGCGCTGCAGAGTGGCAACCAGTAATGGCATGTTTCTGAAATTGTTCTGTTGCGGTGTAATATTGTGTATTTATATATATGCATTTATGTATCATAAGAGTATGTATTTATAAATATGTACTGTTTTTATGTATCAATGTTGTATGTATTTATAATAATGTACTATTTTTTAAATGTATGTGTATGTTTGCCACTGTAAGTCAAATTTCCTCAAGGGGATCAATAAAATGTGATTTATTGATTTATTATATTGTATTTATTATAGCACATGTTTAGCAGAAACTTTTTGAGAACAGACAAACAGAAAGGCGTCAGGGGTGACGGTGCTACAAAATATCATAAAGAAAATGTCTGCAATTAGATAGAGCATATTTCTCTGAAATCCCATAAAAAAGGATAGATTTATTTATGCATAATATCCCATACTGTCATGAAGTCTGTCATCACCGATATATAGAATAGCTACTACTGACAAATAAAAATAATGCGTTTTTCTTAAATTGTCATAGCCATGTGTGTCTCGACGTGGTGGAATCAGGTGCTCGTCAATTTTTGGGCATGTAGAGTTATTGGTATTATCTTAAAGCTTGTTCATTTGTCTTGCTTCTGAGGACAAAAATACTCAGTTATCTTGAGCGGAAGTTATGATTAAAGGAGGTGGGGGTTGTCTGGTGTCAGAGGTAAAATTAGTGAGAAAATGGCTACCAAAGTTTGGTGACTTCCAAAACTTGAGTGTCCTTGGAAATTGCAAATTTTTATTTTCTGTACTTTTGATCAACTTTCCTGTAAAATCCAAAAAGACCTGTGTTTTTAAATGGACATAAAAGGTGTTGAACTGAAAAGAGAAACAAAATATTACCCGATGGCTAAAAAAATGCAGGTTTCTTTGTTTTCGTTATTTTGATGAGCACCTGATTTCACCACCATGCCTCACAGATGGTAGATGGATAGCTCATTTGAGAAATACATGTGTATGTCTGAAGTTTTCTGTCTTTTGTACATGTCAGTTTGTTCTAGGGAGAAACAGCTAAATATTTTCCAATTTATACCTTCCTTCTTGAGACAGACTTACGTATCTGTGTACACAAACTGTAAGTCAGATGCAGCTTTAAATTACAGCCGCACTTGTTTAAGACTGCTGACCACCCATTATGTGAGGAGAAAAATCATAGGAAAAGACATTGTGTGTTTGCCACATTGTCACATCATAGAACACACATGCACACACACACACGCACTTACTTACATTCATTATACACACTCATTCCCCCTCTTCACCCCCCCCCTCTCTTTCTTTCTCTCTCTG